GGGGGGGGGGTGCGTACCTTTGTCCGGTTTTTTAGTTCAATTTGACCATATTGATAATTAAATCAGTTCTCCATGAATAAATAATTGATAAACGATCAATTTTCAAAATTTATAAATTCTATTACATGCAAAATTTCACCAGGGATTGATTTCATGACAAAAAATTGGAAATAATATCGGTGTACAAAAAAAAAGGTTTTTTAACTCGAAAAATCATAATTGTTTAAAATTTATTCAAATTTCAAAACAATTCAAATTTCAAAATTCCAAAAAGCGCTGAGCCGATTTTGCCGAGCCAAAAATTGTCTTTTTGTCTTTTTCACTCGATTGTAAGAAACGCGGAGAAGCATCGATCGCAAAAAAAATGTTTTTTGGAAATAAAAAAAATTTGATTATTCGAATATCTCAACAACCGCTGAGACGATTTTGTCGATATTTCACTCAGTTATGAAATACACAGAGACGTATCAATCGCAACAAAAAAAATCCGATCATTTCCCCAGGAGAAATTGTCAAATTTGTAAAAAAATTGTCAAATCTGTAAAAAAAACGTCGTTTTTGGACGTTTTTACACATGTGTTTCGGGAATGACTCGAAAACTGCTGAGACGATCATGTTCAGAATTTAATCAGGTCGAAGTTAGGTATAGTCATATCGATTGACGAAAAAAAAACAAAATCCGACCATTTGTTCAAGAGAAAACGTTGGGCAAAATTTTGTTTACATACATACACACACACACACACACACACAAACATTTTTCCCAAAATGTCATGGAACGTTTCTAGGGTTCATGAAACGTGGAGATCAGGTGAAATTTCCACTTTCGATTTTCGGACCCATCACAATAACTTCCCTCCAAGATCGGGAAGTTAATACATTATATCCTTTGGTTATTCGATATTTTTTCCCAACAGAGTACTGTCTCATTTTTTTCGATTATGTATTCTCAATTCACGTCCCCTTCTTTCCCTCTTGCAAATTTTCGGGAAATTTACAATCTCCCTTAATTTTGAAGATGTTTTAAAAAAACCGTCAACGATAAAACCCCATCTAAAAATGATTTATTCAGAATTATAACAAATTTATTTATATTCAAAATTTCACTAAAAAATACGCTATTTTAAAGTTTAAACAATTCCAATTATTTTTTTGTGAACAATTATTATTATCAAATAATAATTCTGTTCCGGAAATGCTTTAAATAAAACACAATATTTCGGACTTATGAACCTAGTAATGAAATATTTGATTGGCTAGCGTTGCGTTCTTTTTTCTTTTCAAAGAATGTAATCATTTTCAAAAAAAAAATTCATTAAAAAACTAATTAAACATTAGTGAGCAAAAATTTTCAATATCGGGGAGTTGAACCCACGACTCCAGCATGACAGCTGGAGACGTTAGCTACACTGTTAAAAATGCCCCCTCGAAAATTACAACACATGTATTGGCAGCACTGTACCAATACCGTAGTAGAATTATACAGTACAGTACTGTGGACCTCCTTACACTACCATAATGGAAAATTTCAACAGTGTCGTATAATATTACAGTAAAGTTTTGTGGACATCTTTACATTATAGTAATGTCATATTCCGAATATGTCGTATGATCGTCTTACACTACCATAACGTAAAATTTCAACTGTGTCGTGTAATATTACAGTAAAGTTTTGTGGACATCTTTACACTACAGTAATGTCATATTTCGAATATGTCGTGTGATATTATAGTATAAGAATGCAGTAAAATTTGAGGGCTAGTACTCATTATACCAACGCTTTTTGTTTCCACAGTACCGCATTGTAACTTTGCAAACACAGTTTTACACTTTTGAAATACAAGCGTATCGAGAATTTGGATTACTCTACTTTAGTTTTTTTAACGCAAATTTATCGTAATATTACAGAAACTCGGCATTAAAAAATGAGTACAGATAATGAAAATTTTGAATACAGGCGTATTAGAATTTTTCTATACTTTTGCATTAAAATTTGTAATCGTTGTGTAATTATTCAAGACAGTTCTGAAGAATTCATGCACGAAATTATTCGCGGTGGAATTAGTATGCAGTATATCAATCATAATTCAGCAGATATTTTATCAATATAATGTTGCACTTTATTATTGTCTTCTAATACAGATATCATATGAAATATAATGTAAATAATTAGGAAACCCTATACATAAAGATAGATGTATCGTCATCTTTATGGCGCCTATCCATAGCTCTTTTATGAATCCTGCTGGTATCGCTCAACCCCATTCATAAATTTGACTACTTTTGGATCGAAAGACATGGATTGCCTTTTCTTGTTGCCTTTCTTGGAGCCCTCTAACGGATTGATCATCAAGAAGTATCTGAAAAAATCCAAAAGTTCGACAATATTAAATTTCTATACAACCAAATCACTGTTTACACACTGATAGAAAATTTTTGAAGTATTCAACAAAAACTAATTGATATGAAATTGTAGTTAATTTTGGTAGTAAAAAATAAGTAAATTCTGGGATTTCTCCATGAAAGTCAATAGTTCAATCCGATATGATGATGGAAATGCTTAAAAACTATGAGAATTCCAGTGACGATTGCCTTAAATTTTGCATTCATTCGAAAATAATCAGGATTTTTTCTTTCTAGGCCGTCTACTTATGAAAAACTGTGCGAGATTTTACAAAGTTTACCTTTGTATCAGCTCCAGAGTGAGAGCTAAGTCCTTCGGGTACCAGATTCGAAACATGTAGTAAGACAAAAACGTCAGCAAAATTCCATTATAGACTCCATCAATGGGGATGAGACTGGTTTTATCCAAGCCCACAAAGTATGTGGCGTTTTCACTGCATAATGATTTTCCTGAAATAGAATCGGAAGTGGTCAATATTTATATTCTAAACTGTCAGAGAAATTATTCATGGGAATCATTACAAATGTTCACGTGACGATTGGACTCAAATGTTTGGCGTACCTTTCACCACAAGCGTTGGGGTCGGACACGGAAATTTTTCAAGAGTTTCACCCTCAGTCAAACTTTCCTGTTGAGAAACCATTGTCAATTAGTAAAAATCGATAGGAATTATGTTCGATAAAAACATCATTCAGTTACTCACATCAACTATCACGTACAGAGCATCCTGGGTTTCTCCAAAATGGTGAACAATGAGTGGAAAAATTGCGGCGACCAGTGGTATATCACTCCTCGTGACAATTGTGGCTTCGACTCGAGCGGCTTGTAGAGTCTTCTCCACGAACATGTCAGCATCAGCAATTTTTCCTTTCTTCTTATGATTTTTGATGACCTCCTCAGCTTTGACGAACTTCTTCATTGGATCAGCATACTTCTGCAGTGCAGTCTGCCATTTCTCTTGAATATCAGTAATACCTAGCAATTCACCAGCATGGCGGAAAAGTGCAGGACCATTTTGCAAGTAAGGCCATTTCGCAAAGAATCCTGCGTCAATGCTTGAGCACGCAATGATGCTTCTCCGTTGAATCGCATATGTCTCATTCAATAAGGTTCGGACTCTTTCATCTTTGGGATCGATGGAATCATCATGATAGGCGATTAATTTGAGGCGCTTGGCTTCGAGTGATTCCACAGTCTCGTCCGGTGGTAACTGCGGATCGTACTTGCCTTCAGCACAGCCGTACTCGTCGTGTTTTCTTGATTTTGGGGCAGATGCGTCATCGGTAGCTTCATCATCCAAGTTCGCGCCAGTCGCATGAAGTCGTGCGCCTTTGTTTCCAGCCTTCCTCTTTCTGCTCACATTACCCACTGCATTATACAGTTGGGCAGCTAGTGCTTCATATCCTCTTCCCAATTTGATTCCATCGATCTGATCCTGAACGGAGTTTGGATATTTCTCGCATATCGCTTGGCTTATGGCGTGAGCTGTACCCCGTGTGGCATCTTTCAAGTCATTCATCATATAGATTTTCAATTGCGTCACTAATTCCCTCCTTTGGTCTTCAGATACACGCACTCCTTCGCGACATTGTCTCATGATGTCTGATGGAATTTTATCCCAGAGAGTATCACGAAAATTCGTTCGTGTCTGTGAACATTCTCCCATCGATGCCTGGCGAATGGGTGAAGTGCTCGTAACATCTGAAAATATACAAAAATACAATAAGATGGACGTATTTTATATTTGTCGGTACCTCCCAGGTAGGAATTGACGATCGGACCAAGCTTGATTCAAGCTTGGACCAAGGCTGACCTTGCTAGGTGCAAGCTTGGTCTCCAAGCTTTGTCGAATCTTAGTTTAAACCCCGAATGTAACCTCGATCACAGCTTGGAGATCAAGCTCCATCCAAGCTTGGTAATTTAGGTTATTCCAATGCTCTCACCAAGCTTCGCCCAAGCTTGACCCAAGCCCCGCGGCCGCACTGTCATTTTTCACAATTATTGTTGCTAATCATGATAAAAACAAAATAATTAACGTTTTTTAAATCATTTTTATGATTGATTATTCCCTAATTACTAACCCTTAACCTATTTATCGCCGAAAACACCGATTTTGTAGACCTAAATTTATTGTATTTATGATATCATATGTATTTATTTATCATATCCGGTGTATCCATAGGATCAAGCTTGATTAAAGCTATCATACCGAAGCTTGGTAATCCAAGGTTGTACGATGCTTGGACCCATCGTCCAAGCTTGGCACTCCTCACCTGGGGCTTAGTTATTGATAAATACTAGCCGAGAAAAGTTGATTTTACCTTGTGGTACGCGTTCCGAGCTTTGATTCACTATACTCTGATCAAGTTGACTTTTGTATGCAATTCCTTCACGCAAAAGCATCAGTACAAGAGTTACTCCTGATATTTTCGCCATGGCCAGGAGGATATCGTCTTCATCAATTACCGTGCCATCTTTTTCCACAAGTACCTGGAAGTAAGTGAAACGATGTGTTAATCTCCGAGAAAATTCGTGGTGAAATGCTAGAAGAATACCTGATATTTTGCTGCTGGTAGATTCAGTTTCTCGATTCCCTTCGTCACAACTTCAGTAATAGTCGATGCTATGATGGCGAACCTATCAGTTCGCTCGTGTGATACTACTTTGAAGAGTGACATTCTGAAGTTGAACCGCTAACACGGAGAAACAATTATGAATACAACTTTTGTCTCCATATTTCTTCCATTTTTGCCCAATCTTTCAAACATAAGCTTCCAATTCCACGTATATATACTATCATATTGGCTTCCTTGAGTCCCCTCATAAATTCCCGAATAATCTCAAAAACATTACAGTCCTCTCTGGACCAAACCATAACTCGGTTTCACATAAATAGCGGATCCAGTATTGTACACATAAAGTTTTTCATTGCTTGGTAGAAATCTTAGATTTACACATCGATATCGCTGGAATGATCCTAATTGGTATGCTCGACGATACGGTAGGAATGTGTTTTCCAAAATCTCTACAATTGCGAATACATTGTCTGTTGGATCATCGTACAGGAGAGTGAGGATTCTTCCTACTTCGATATTATATTGGTATGCTTCATATGAAGTGAATAACGCCTCGCCTTTCCGGTAACATATCCCTTTGAGTATCAATGAACTACATTCTTGACAATTTTCAGGAATATCTGTATTGTTCACAACTTCTCGTATCTTATTGTTGTAATGATTTCTAACAAAACTGCCAGTAACTTTCGCATCTATACTACACTTGAGATCCCCACCCATTCGAATATAACTTTGAAACAATTCATGTTTGTTACTCAATGAGTGGGTGATATTAATGAAATTTTTCGTCCTAGCAATAACTCTCTTAAAAAATGTATGTTTACTTTCGAATCGAAGAGTCCAAGCTCTCATTAAAGGCCCAAATTGTAAAATAAGATACGGATAATGCTACAAATAATGATGCTTTGGCCGGAGTGGGACAGGAATTTTCTTTCGTAAACTAATGAACTCGCTGATTAAAGATTTGAGATAGGGAAGACAAGACGTATGTATTGCTGGAGCAATAATGATTTCGATAATTTCAGTTAATAGAAGTATAGCTCTCCAATTATCGTCACCACTGTCTTGAATTTTATCTTCAATAAGTAAAGGTAATTATCTCAAAAATGTCCAAAGCTGCCAAGCACCACCAGTAATCTTTTTCGATTGTTGCTGAATAATATTTGGCTTATCTCTCTGATCTTCCATGGAATATTGAAATAATTGAATCCTGTTATTAAGCAAATTGTAAGAAAACCATTTATTTTCTCGAATCAATCTATCAATTAACAATTTAACATCGTAAGCTATCAAACATTCAAATATATCATGCCCAAGACGCGGAGGTAATCCTGGATTGACAACATGGTAATACTTCAAACGATTAAAAGCCGCGTCAAACTTGATTCCTTTTGAATCAATCGGAGTCTCGTCATTGCATAACTCTAGTTCTTTCATTTTGATCTTGTTTATGATATCTCTATGTAATTTAGGAGTTCTTTTTTCATAGCTTTCCGCAGCGGCTTCTACATTGGTATGAAATTCTTTTCTGGGTATCACGCAATAACGGCACACATATGGAGCCTTGCTGAAGTTTTCCGTTAAACCAGCTAAAGAATGACTCCCAAGATTATCTCCAGCAATAAAAACAAGAGCCCCTTTGATAATTTCTCCAGATGCTAATTCAATTCCTTCAGTCTCGATTTTCTTGAGATCCTCTACAATTCTGCCATATACTTTTTCGTGATCAAATTCTTTTTCCTTGCAAAGAGCCACGAGTTGTATTAAATTGATACGTGAGCGTAAATAATCCGGCAAATTACCTATACTTAAATAGACAGCAAGAATTTTATGTTTCACTCTAGCAGCACCGAGGGGATTGACAATCTCCACACCATCCTGATACAAGATAAGTTTTAACGCATTCGGATTTTCATGGAAAAAACTATTCTGTTTGAATACTAAACCATCTGAGAAATCCCTGAGAACATTGTCATTTCTCTCTTCCCTGTCGAAAACGAAATTCTCCCGCAAATATTCATTTTCCAAAGTTTTCTTCAATGTTTGATCGATAGGTACGTAANACAGCAAGAATTTTATATTTCGTTCTAGCAGCACCGAGGGGATTGACAATCTCCACACCATCCTGATACAAGATAAGTTTTAACGCATTCGGATTTTCATGGAAAAAACTATTCTGTTTGAATACTAAATCATCTGAGAAATCCCTGAGAGCATTGTCATTTCTCTCTTCCCTGTCGAAAACGAAATTCTCCCGCAAATATTCATTTTCCAAAGTTTTTTTCAATGTTTGATCGATAGGTACGTAATGGAAAAATTGGGTTTTCGCTTCTTAGAACCATCGATCAGTTTAATTGCAATGGGCTCGACGTATGGAAAGTTTGTCTTGTAAAATTTGTCACGCTTATATGATGTATTCAACGTTCTCGTACTCAAAAAGGGATTACATTCCAAGATTTGATCCAACAAGTTATGTGCATCATCTATTGATAGATTTTTAGTCAGCAAATTTGGGAGAATTTTCTTTCTCAATCTTTCTTCACCTAATTCATGTAGATTTATTATCTGTGTCACAATAAACTGAACAGTTGATGAAGGAATGCATAATTGACTTTCTAATTTAAAAAAAAACAATGCCCTATTCTGTAAAAAAGGATCTATCGTGGGTTCTTCTTCACTAACACTTCTAGATTCGCAGGTCCCTAAGTCTTGAATATTCTCTTCCCCGAGGTAACATTGATCTACATTGGTACATGTTCCATCAAGCTCACTCAATTGATTGGCATTATCAGTTTCGGAACTTTCTGCATTTGTCTGTAAGTTCTCCGTCCTATGGCATCGCGTTATATGTGATGAAAATGAACTAAATTTATTGTATCGGGCTGATTTACATTTTTTAAAAGGACACTGAATTGCTGAACCGTTCCGTATATGAATCTTCATGTGCTTGATCAAATCGAAAGAGGACTCACACTGTTTTTACATAAATTATCAGAACAAACGTACTTTCCATTAGCATCTGCACAATCACTTCTCAAGCGAGTTTTTAACGTACGAGTTTTGAATTTAAATTCATGGGTCCTACTTAAGTGGACGCGGATAGACTCTTCTGTTCGGTATCTACGTCGACAATTCGTGTATCCCCAAATATAAAGACCATGCGAAGTTGTGTGAATTTTCCGGTGCTTTATATATTCTTTGAATTCTTCAGTGGTGTGACTACAGAAATGACAGCTTAGCATCTTGCCTGAAGGAAGCCAATATTTTGTATTAATGCAACTACTTTGATAAGTACTATTAAAAAGATTGAGCAAGATTTAAAAAAATTCAAGGGGTACTGTCGAGGGATACTAATCGTTTGCCTTATCAACTAAACTATTTACCCGACAGCAGTCACGGCCCATTCTTCTGGCATGAGTGCGAGCAAGACGGCAAACATACCGACCCCTCACCAAGCGTTTGTCGTTTTGCGCGTCCCTTTGTGTCCAGTTTGAAAACCTTTTGCCTTATCTCTATTCAAAATTAATTCATAGGCTTCAGCATGATCAGTACGAACGAAATACATTAGTAAGATACATGAGAAATTTTTTCGTAATTATAGAATGATTTTTCTTGAATTAAAAAAATCGCGTAAGAAAAACACTCCTGGAGTCACTGCTGACGGGATAATAGAAGCGATCCATCGAGTTAAACTGTCAAGAATGTATGGATCTGATTCGGGAAAATTGTAAAGGCACTTTATCCATTGAAAAGACTTTAAGAACACTTATTTTCAAAAAAGAACACTTATTACCCTTGAAGATGATGAACATAAATCACGTCACTGAATAAATAATCACTCACTTAAAAACACTATTATTAATTTAAGTGCTCGTTCGTAAAGAGAAAAAATGGAAATTCAATAGTATTTTTCTGGTTTCAAGTCAGAGGGAACGAAGTGTTCTCGACGCTGGTCAAATGGAAAATGAAAGAAAGACTGAAAATTGTCCTCTGCAAAAAGAGGATAACAAGTATGGCGGAGAAACGACAAAGAAATTTTGTTTGGTCAACATGTGTTTAGAGTGAGAAAACTCTATATAAAAAAAATGGGGACGAAGGGGCTGGGAGTTTACAGGCCTGGGTCGGGAGTACTTAAGAATATGCGTTGAGGACCTTTCCCTTTCCCGGATTTTTTTTTTGGGATTTTCCCCCATTTAAATAACGACGAGTTAAATAATTTTTCAATTATTTAGTTTTTGAATATAAGAGGATTTTTGAAAAGAAAAAAAATGTATGCATAAGATATAAATCCTCTGTTCTTCCAAGACTGATGGTCAATACACAACGCATAATCCAATAATTGATCAAAATATGATAATTTTCTATCAAAAATTATGAGAATGAAAGGAAATCGATAATGATCCCTTCTAAGGTAAGCCCAAAGTTAGTCATTTGTTTAGACTAAAAACTCGACCTGGTCGCCAGGGTATCACTCATTTCGATACTATTTATATTATAGTCCCAGTGGACTCATTGCATAAGAACTTCTTTGTTATAATTCCGATAGACGAGCCTCAGTATTGGGGAAATTTTTTTATGACCCGAAATATTCACCCGTGATGTACCTCCCCACTTGGAGGTGCAATAAACTAAATATGGGGTTAATCCTTCGCCAGGTCAATTCGTAGACCGGCAGAGGTCCACCCATCAGGAAAAATAAATTAAAAGGTCGGATGCGCCAAAGTGGGAATAACCCCGCATACCCTGATGGTTTCTACCCAGAGTTGACACAGACTGGGTTTTTTCGCTAAACACAGTCTGGGTTGAGGTGGGGAAACCCAGAGTTGAGTGGAGTAACTCTGGGATCGACTCTGGGTCCAGAGTTTTTTCCCAGAGTTGTAATGGCATTGTTGAAAGGACCTCTGGAGCCTCCCCTAGCTTAAAAATCTCCCCTAGAATCATCTTTGCCATATGTCAATGATCCTCCTGACATACCACGGATCAACAGAAATATTGCAGAATTGTTTAACAATGAAATTAGCAACTCTGGCAGTTAGTGTGGGTCCCGAGTTAGACCCAGAGTTCCAATTATATTGTTCAAAGGGGTTTTTTTCACATTTTTT